AGATCACTTGAGCCCAGGAGTTTGAGACCAGCCCGGACAATATAATGAAACCTCGTCTCTACAAAATATTTAAAAATTAGCCAAGCATGGTGGTGCCTGCTTGTAGTCCCAGCTACTCAGGAGGCTGAGGTGGGAGGATTGCTTGAGCTCAGGAGGTAGAGGTTTCAGTGAGCCAAGATTGTGCCACTGCATTCTAGCCTGGGTGACAGACTGAGACTCTGTCTCAAAAAAAAAAAAAAAAAAAGGAAAGAAAAAGTGAGGTCAGGTGCGGTGGCTCATGTCTGTAATCCCAGCACTTTGGGAGGCTGAGGCAGGTGGATTGCTTGAGCTCAGGAGTTTGAGACCAGCCTGGTAAAAATGAAGAAAACCCTGTCTGTGTAAAAAATACAAACATTAGCAGAGCGTTGCAGCACACAGCTGTGGTCCCAGCTACTCGGGAGACAGAGGTGGGAGGATGGCTGGAGCCGGAGGAGGTCAAGGCTGCAGTGAGCCATGATTGCGCCACTGCACTCCAGCCTGGGCGACAAAGTAAGACTGTCTCAAAAATAATAATAATGAAGGCCAGGCACGGTGGTTCATAGCTATAATCCCAGTACTGTGGGAGGCCTCGTCTCTACTAAACCCCATCTCTACTAAAAAAAAAAAAAATTAGCTGGGTGTTTTGGCATGGGCCTGTAATCCCAGCTACTCAGGAGGCTGAGGCAGGAGGATCGCTTGAACCTGGGAGGCAGAGGTTGCAGTGACCCGAGATCACACCACTGCACTCCAGCCTGGGTGACAGAGCAAGACTGTCTCAAAAAAAAAATGTTAATGGACTGAAAGAGTTACATTATTGTGTAAAAACTTTGGAATGTCTGGGTTAAGATAAGGGGTTGTGGAGACGAAGGTTTTATGCAGATGAAGCCTCCAGGTAGCAGGCTTTGGAAGGAGAGAACAATGAGTGTAAATGTTTGTTACCAGACTTAAGAGTCTGTTCTATCAGGAATTCCAAAAGGGAATTTTGGACTCCACCCCCTTTCCGTCATGGCCTTTCAGGTTAGCTTTGGAATGCCCTTGCCAACATGAGGGATCCATTCAGATGTTCGAAGGCTTAGAATTTTATTTTTGGTTTATATTAGGTAAAGTTTATAATTTAAAACCCATCAAGTTTCTTTTTTAGCAGTTCTTTCATCAATTCCCCAATCTTTCTTTTCATCTCTTCCTGTTTCACTAGCTCCCTAGAGTCTAAATGGTTAGGACTTTGTATCTTTTCCCCTTTTCCACAGCTGGAACACCATACACTGACCTGACATTATGTTTCCCAGAAACTTGAAATATTTACGTTGTTTATCTTAACTCCTTGTGCAAGCATTCCTGCTTGCGGAAATGGTTTTCCATCTATTAATAAGATTGACATTGCATCATCTGAGACATTTTAGGGTGTAGGAGTAGGAAGTTATTTAGTTAAAAATATAAAGCCGGTTTTTTGCTTTTTTTTTTTTTTTTTTTTGAGATGGAGTCTTGCTCTGTTGCTCAGGCTGGAATGTAGTGGCACGATCTCAGCTCATTGCAACCTCCGCCTCCCGGGTTCAAGCAATTTTCCTGCCTCAGCCTCCCGAGTAGCTGGAATTACAGATGTGCATCACCACACCCAGCTAATTTTTTGTATTTTTAGTAGAGCTGGGGTTTCACCATGTTGGCCAGGCTGGTCTCAAACTCCCGCTCTCAGGTGATCCACCCGCCTCAGCCTCCCAAAGTGCTGGGATTACAGGCATGAGTCACCGTGCCTGGCTAAAGCCAGTTTTCTTTTAGCTCACATTCCTCAAACCCATAGGAAACAGTATGATTGATATAGTTGAGGAAATATCTCTTCACATAAATGACTGTTGGTTGGCCAGGCACGGTGGCTCACACCTGTAATCCCAGGAGGGAGGGCCATTGGGAGGCCAAGGTAGGAGGATTACTTGAGCCTCGAAGTTTGAGACCAGCCTGGGCAACATAGTCAGACCTCATCTCTACTAAAAATAAAAAATTTAGCCAAGTGTAGTGGTGTATCACTGTAGCCCCAGCTACTCAGGAGGCTGAGGCAGGAGGATCACTTGAGCTTCAGAGGTTGAGGCTGCAGTGAGCCATTGTTGCACCACTGCACTCCAGCTTGGGCAAGAGAGTGAGACCCTATCTCAAAAAAAAAAAAACAAATAAAATAAAATAAAATAAAATAAAAGATTATTGGCCCAAAATGGCAAGCTAGTGGTTAAAGCTATATTTGGTGGGTAGGTGGCAGAACAAGAAAGGGGTATCTGCCAAACTTAGGGCTCAGTAGAGAAGACAGTGGGTTAGGGACATATGCAGTATGTTTTAAAAGAAAATTTTGGACAGGAATTCAAGTGTGATACACATGGTGGTCAGGAGAAGAATCACTGGTATGTACACTGCAAAGCAGAGTTTATAGAGCCTACAGAGCCAGTGAAGAGACATTTCAACACTTAAATCTAGCCCAGACCAGAGCTCTGAGTTCACTGTTCTTTCTTGGACCACATCCTTTCCTGGAAAAAATGTGAATATGCACACAGGCAAGATAACAAGCAATAATTAGGAAGCTAGGATTGTAGCACTAAACATCCCAAGAAGCTTCTTCATTCAGACAAGGTAGCACTGATCCCTGTATCCCTAACGTCTTCCTCAGTGCCTGGCACTGAATAGATACTGGTTGAATGGATGAATTGACTGATAATAGTGAATTGTTAGCATACTTAGTGAGTTCTAAGTGATGGGTAAAATATAGGAGAAAGATGCTGAAAGATGTTGTAGATTGAATAGTAACAGCCGATGGGGGAGGAGAGTTTTCGGGGACATCCCAGGGCTGGAAGTGGCGAATGCATGGGAAAAAACAGGTTCTACAGCTTAAGCTCTTGAGAAAAGCACAGATTGGGGAAGATAAGAGAGAAAGAGCTTGACAATAAGAAAGAGTTTGCATTCACACTGTGCTCATTGTCCATAGGGGTGCATTCTGGCTCTGCAGGATAATGTCTGACAACATAATATGCCAGTTACCTCACAATCTAAGAAATTACACTTTCAAAGTTTTCTGGATCTGTGCACCCAGGAGCTAAGACAGCCAATGTTGTCCTGGCTGACTGGCCATTATCTCCACACAAATCAAAGTACATTTCCAATGCCACCCCATTTGGAAGCTTTGACATCAGCATCTTGGTGTTAATTTTTAACTTAAAATCACAACTTTAAGAGCAAAAATTTTGTTATTCCAAGTAGACAAGAAAAAAATTATTTTCCATGTAAATGTTTTAACTCAAGCTTTAAAATATTTAGGTATTGGCCAGGTATGGTGGCTCATGCCTGTAATCTCGGCACTTTGGGAGGCCGAGGCAGGTGGATGGCCTGAGCCTAGGAGTTTGAAACCAGCCTGGGCAACATGGGGAAACATCATCTGTACCAAAAATACAAAAATTAGCTGGGCATGGTGGTGCACACCGATAGTCCCAGTTATTAGTGAGGCTAAGGTGGGAGGATTGCTTGAGCTGGGAGGTTGAGCTGAGATCATGCTACTGCACTCCAGCCTGGGTGACAGAGCGAGACCCTGTCTCCAAAAAAAAAAAAAATATATATATATATATACACACACACACACACACACACATATATATAATAGGTAACCTTACATATCAAATAATGCAGTTGTGGATCATGAAAAAGGGTCAAATAGCATAAGCAAATGGACCCAGAGCTCTGTCTAGTTGGGATTTGCTTCTAATATTCACCTGCTAATGATTCCATGAGTTGCCAAATTAGAAATATACTTGCCCCTATTGGTACCTCATGAATTTTCTCAAATATCAAATGATTTCAACTGATGACTTTCTTTCAAGTTAACTTCTAGCAAGGTTCCTCAGAATCGCATTGACCCCTGGTGAGACACTCAGTTACAGATCTTCATGAGTGCTGGTTTAGTCTGGGAAATTGTTTCAGTCTGTGGATCTTTTCAATGCTTAAACAATTACTTTAACTTGTTTTGTAAAAATTATGATCTAATTATTTTTCAAGTATACTGGGGTTAATGAAATGCAGCAGTGGGGTGTGCCTTTTAGCAGCAGAACAGACCACTTTTTACATTCCTTAGAAATAAGATCTGGTTCAGTATTTTAAATCATAGCAACAGTTGATAAGAAAAACAGCAAAAAGGTAATCATTTCCATATGGAAAGAAAAGGAAGAACCAGTGAAGCTGTGAACTGTCATTTTTCCATATAAAAGTCACTACTGGTAGATTTGGCAGAAAGGGCAAATGTTCCTATTTGTTTCTCATTTTACATTCGTTAATATATTGCATGTGATGTGTTTTATGGAAATACAACATTCCCTTCAAACTCAGTTGTCAATTTCCAAGCATGTTTTGTCTTGGGTGAAACCCATATCTTGTGTGTCAATTTCATCAAGTAATTATATTTCCTTGGTGATAATTTTCTTAACTTAGTGAAAAATTTAGGTGAAAATTCTTATCCCTTTTACTGAAAAGCATATAACCATCATCCATACCAGCTGAATACCTGTAAGTAATTTCTTTTTTTTTTTTTTTTTTTTTTGAGACAGCCTTACTCTGTCACCCTGGCTGGAATGCAGAGGCACGGTATCAGTTCACTGCAGCCTCGACCTCCCAGGGCTCAAGTGATCCTCCCACCCAAACTTCCAGAGTAGCTTGGACCACAAGTGTCTGCCACTACACCCAGCTAATTAAAAATTTTGTTTTGTAGAGATGGGGGTCTTACTGTATTGCTCAGGCTGGTCTCAAACTCTTGGCCTCAAGTGATCCTCCCACCTTGCCCTCCCAAAGTGTTGGGATTACAGATGTGAGCTACCATGCCCAGCCCATTATAAGTAATTTTAAAGCAATAATTGAATAAAATCAATTTCTGCTCTGGCATTCCAGGATCCAAAACAAAATCTGACCCAATTTTCTCATGCCCAAAAAGTTGAAGAAAAGCACACTAAGTACACATTTACCTATTTGCTTTTGTAGTTAGGCATAAGCATTTATTACCAAAATCCTCATATTTATTTTTAAATAGCTGCTTTGAGTGGAAACTCTTACCCTGTTACAGAATATTCAAAATACATGTTCACACTGTAGCATTTGACAACATCTCCCTCCTGTGGTTCAAAGCATTCATTTCAAACATGAATATATTAAGTACAGAATTACAATTCCTTAGCTTGAAATTATGCTGTGAAAGTTTGGTTCATGCTTTGTGAGTTGTTTTTGGAGTAAAGAAGGAAGATTTAGGAACATGTAGAGAATATTCTCTTTTCTTGGCTAGTTCCAGAGTCCCAACATCTCAGCAAATTGTTTCCCCAAAGTTCTTTAGAAAAGCACCATTTTTTTCTTACAAATGAAATACCAAGTGGATGTTTTCATTGAAAAACATGCGATTCTCCATTTAAAAAGTTTTCTTCCTTTTCTGTGGGCATAATATGCAGAACAGACTCAGCATTCTACGTGGTTACTTTAACAGAATGGAACTTTGAAAACTTTACAGAGAAAATAGTATTGAAAATATTTTAGTCCAAAAATGCCCTAAGGTACTTTTCCCATTGTTCAAGATCAGAGGTTACAGTAACTGGCAACAACCTGCTCTAATGACGTGAAACTGTCTAAAAAGTCCTCCTCTTCAATTCCAAATTTTGTGTACTGATGAATGTAGGCTCTGGTGGAAAAAAACCCAGAAATTACAAAATAAAAAATGTCAGGCAAATGAGTAGCTCTTCAACAATAAACAGACCTTTTCTAGCTCATGAACATTTGAAGATCACATCTTTCAGAAGTCTTACATTTGCTTTGTTTACTCCAAAGATTAGTGAACTTTTTTTTTTCTTTTTTTTTTGAGACAGAATCTTGCACTATTGCCCAGGCTGGAGTACAGTGGAGAAATCTCAGTTCACTGCAGGCTCCGCTTCCCGGGTTCACACCATTCTCCTGCCTCAGCCCCCACCAAGTAGCCGGGATTACAGGTGCCCGCCACCACACCGGGCTAATTTTTTGTTTTTAGTAGAGATGGGGTTTCGCCATGTTAGCCAGGATAGTCTTGAACTCCCGACTCAGCCTCCCAAAGTGCTGGGATTATAGGCGTGAGTCACTGCATCAGACCCGTTTTTTTTTTTTTGTTTTTTTTTTTGTTTTTTTTTTTTTTGAGACAGAGTCTCACTCTGTCACCCAGGCTGGAGTGCAGTGGCCGGATCTCAGCTCACTGCAAGCTCCGCCTCCCGGGTTCACGCCATTCTCCCGCCTCAGCCTCCCGAGTAACTGGGACTACAGGCGCCCGCCACCTCGCCCGGCTAGTTTTTTGTATTTTTTTTTTTTGGTAGAGACGGGGTTTCACCGTGTTAGTCAGGCTGGTCTCGATCTCCTGACCTCGTGATCCGCCCGTCTTGGCCTCCCTAAGTGCTGGGATTACAGGCGTGAGCCACCGCGCCCGGCCCGTTTTTTGTTTTTTTTTTTTTGAGTCTCGCTCTGTTGCCCAGGCTGGAGTGCAGTGGCGTGATCTCGGCTCACTGCAACCTCCGCCTCCCAGGTTCAAGCGATTCTCTTGCCTCAGCCTCCTGAGTAGTTGGGACTGCAGGCACATGCCATGACGCCCAGCTAATTTTTGTATTTTTAGTAGAGACAGGGTTTCACCATATTGGCCAGGCTGGTCTCGAACTCCTGACTTCGTGATCCACCTGCCTCAGCCTCCCAAAGTGCTGAGATTACAAATGTGAGCCACCGTGCCCAGTCCTTCTTTTTTCTTTTGTGTGTGTGTGTGTGTGTGTGTGTGTGACAGAGTTTTGCTCTTGTTGCTTAGGCTGGAGTACAATGGCGTGATCTCCACTCACTGCAACCTTCGCCTTCTGGGTTCAAGTGATTCGACTGCCTCAGCCTCCCGGGTAGCTGGGATTACAGGAATGCACCACCACACCCAGCTGCTTTTGTATTTTTAGTAGAGACAGGGTTTCTCCATGTTCTCCATGTTAATTAGGCTGGTCTCGAACTCCTGACCTCAGGTGAACCGCCCGCCTTGGCCTCCTAAATTACTGGGATTACAGGTATAAGCCACCGTGCCCGGCCTGAACTTTCTTTTTTTTTTTTTTTGAGACGGAGTCTCGCTCTGTAGCCCAGGCTGGAATACAGTGGCCGGATCTCAGCTCACTGCAAGCTCCGCCTCCCGGGTTCACGCCATTCTCCGGCCTCAGCCTCCCGAGTAGCTGGGACTACAGGCGCTGCCACCTCGCCCGGCTATTTTTTGTATTTCTTAGTAGAGACGGGGTTTCACCGTGTTAGCCAGGATGGTCTCGATCTCCTGACCTCGTGATCCGCCCATCTCGGCCTCCCAAACTGCTGGGATTACAGGCTTGAGCCACCGCGCCCGGCCTCTGAACTTTCAAAATTTATGTCAAGCTCCCTGTATTTTTAGTGTCCAAAAAACTGGCAAAGAAGAGGCACCCAGGAAAGAGCAGCATGTTCAGATCTGGCTATCTACTCAGTATATACATAACACCCTATATTCAGTATAAACTCTGAAAAGTACCTGAGAAGTTTCATATAAGGCTTGAAACTAGAGAACACATCAATCCAGTTCTAGGAATGGAGTGAAGCCTCCCAGGTGCTCTCAGGACATTTAATTTGTAGTTATGCCAGGGTGGTCCTCTTAATCCCTCCCACACCACAAATGCTTTCTTTTTTGTTTGTGTGTTTGTTTTTTGAGACAGGGTTTTGCTCTGTCACCCAGGATGGAGTACAGTGGTGTGATCTCGGCTCACCATAACCTCTGCTTCCTGAGTTGAAGCAATTCTTGTGACTCAGCCTCCCAAGTAGCTGGGATTACAGGTGTGCGCCACCACACCAGGCTAATTTTTGTATTTTTAGTAGAGGTGGGGTTTCACCATGTTGGCCAGGCTGGTCTTGAATTCCTGGCTTCAAGTGATCCACCTGCCTTGGCCTTCCAAAGTGCTGGGATTACAAGCGTGAGCCACCACGCCTGACTGCTCCTTGCAAATGTTCTGAGGCACAAAAATCATGTACAAAAAGAATATCAAGGGCAGACATGAATTAAATTGACATCATAATGGCTGCTACCATTTAATGAGAGTAGGACGGGAATGACGCCAAAAAAGGACGGAGTTCACGGCCCTGTGGAGTGGGGTTTTTTTTTTGAGACAGAGTCTCGCACTGTTGCCTGGGCTGGAATGCAGTGGCACAATCTCTGCTCACAACCTCCACCTCCTGGGTTCAAGCCATTCTCCTGCCTCAGCCTCCCCAGTAGCTGGGATTACAGGTGCCTGCCACCATGCCCAACTACTTTTTGTATTTTCAGTAGAGACGGGGTTTCACCATGTTGGCCAGGCTGGTCTCAAACTCCTGATCTTGTGATTCACCAGCCTTGGCCTCCCAAAGTGCTGGGATTACAGGCGTGAGCCACCATGCCCAGCCCGAGTGGGGTTTTATGGACTGGTCACACGCAGGATGGTTGGGCCCTGGGGTATCCGAGCTAATGAAAGTTATAGGTGGCTGGGCACAGTAGCTCATGCTGGTAATCCCAGCACCTTGGGAGGCCAAGGCGGGCAGATCACCTGAGGTCAGGAGTTTGAGATCAGCCTGACCAACATGGAGAAACCCTGTCTCTACTAAAAACAAAAAAATTAGCTGAGTGTAGTGGGGCATGCCTGTAATCCCAGCTACTTGGGAGGCTGAGGCAGGAGAATCGCTTGAACCCGGGAGGCAGAGGTCACAGTGAACCGAGATCACGCCACTACACTCCAGCCTGGGCAACAAGAGCGAAACTCCATCTCAAAAAAAAAAAAAAAAGAAAAAGATAGTTAGAAGCCTTGTCCAGTCATTTGAAGAATTCTGCTTTGACTTAAGTAACTGGTAGAGATCAAGAAATCTGCTAAAACATGTTAGTATGAAGTAGACATTTCTTAGTATCAAACTGAGTTGAATTTAATCATATATCTTATTGAGGAACATGAGGATCTTCCAGTCTCCCAAGGATTTATCTATTTATTTATTTTTACTTTTAGACGGAGTCTTGCTTGTCGCCCAGGCTGGAGTGCAGTGGCACAATCTCGGCTCACTGCAAGCTCCACCTCCTGGGTTCACGCCATTCTCCTGCCTCAGCCTCCCGAGTAGCTGAGACTACAGGTGCCCACCACCACACCCAGCTGATTTTTTGTACTTTTAGTAGAGATGGGGTTTCACCATGTTAGCCAGGATGGTCTCCATCTCCAGACCTTGTGATCCGCCCACCTTGGCCTCCCAAAGTGCTGGGATTACAGGCGTGAGCCATCGCACCTGGCCTTTTTTTTTTTTAAATTTCATTTTTTTTTTTTAGATGGAGTCTCACTCTTGTCGCCCAGGCTGGAGTGCAATGGCATAGTTTTGGCTCTCTGCAACCTCTACCTTCTGGATTCAAGCAATTCTCCTGCCTCAGCCTCCCAAGTAGCTGGGATTACAGGCACCCACCACCATGCCAAGCTAATTTTTTATTTTTAATAGAGATGGGGTTTCACCATGTTGGCCAGGCTTGTCTTGAACTCCTGACCTCAGCCGATCTGCTCGCCTCAGCCTCCCAAAGTGCTGGGATTACAGGTGTGAGCCACGGTGCCCAGCCAGATCTTATTTTTGAAAACTATCTTATTTTCCCTGCTTTATAATAAAATTCTACTTTAATAATGTCAAACAATTACTGAGCATTTACTAGCCCGGCACAGTACTAGCTGTTTTACAAGATTATCTTATCTAATCCTCACCAGAAATTTCCTCAGTTAGGACCCTCTTACACAGATGAGGCAATGAAGCCTGAAGTCACGTGCCCAAGGCTTCACACCTTCACACCTACACAGTGGTAACCATGCTTCCTCGAGATCATACCTCATGCTTTAACGCTACAGTATCTGCTTAAAGGTTAGAAAGGCTGCCGTGCGCGGTGGCTCATGCCTGTAATCCCAGCACTTTCGGAGGCCGAGGTAGGCGGATTCCGAGGTCAGAAGTTCGAGACAAGCCTGAGCAACATGGTGAAACCCTGCCTCTACTAAAAATATAAAAATTAGCTGGGGGTGGTAGTGGGAGCCTGTAATCCCAGCTACTTAGTAGGCTGCAGCAGGAGAATCGCTTAAACCCGGGAGGCGGAGCTTGCAGTGAGCCGAGGTCATACCACTGCACTCCAACCCGGGCAACAGAGCGAGACTCTGTTTCAAAAAAAAAAAAAAAGAAAAGTTTGTAGACTTATTTTATACTTACTTTGAAGCAAACATATTCCATGCCTTCCCGACAATCATATCAAGTGGTTTTACTAAGAACTGGCTATTGCTGACCAACACTGCAGACTTCTCATACTTGCTAAAGGCCCGCTGGGTTTTCCACACGTTGAAAGCATTAACAGGTTCTAACCAGGAAGTGTAGAGAGCTGGATCTTTAAATCCCTCTAGAGTAAAAACAAGATAAGCCGTCTTTTTATAGCATAAATTAGTAATTGTGAAAATGAATAAACAAACAGATATTTTCTTGTCTACTTCATCAGAGATCTTTTATTTTGCCTTTTAAAACTTGTGTTGGCTGGCGCGGTGACTCCCAGCACTTTGGGAGGCAGAGGAGGGTAGATCGCTTGAGCTCAGGAGTTCGAGACCAGCCTGGGCAACATAGTAAAACCTCGTCTCTACTAAAAACAAAATTAGCTACACATGGTGGTGTGCATTCTTCTTAACACTTTTCTGAAAGGTATGAATTATTACACTTTTTTTTTTTTTTTTTGAGACAGGGTCTCACTCTGTTGCCCAGGCTGGGGTGCAGTGGCATGATGTTGGCTCACTGCAACCTCTACTTCCTGGGCTCAAGCAATCCTCCCGCCTTAGCCTCCTAAGTAGCTGGGATTACAGGTGCCTGCTACCATGCCCAGCTAATTTTTGTACTTTTTGTAGAGATGGGGTTTCACCATGTTGGCCAGGCTGGTCTCGAACTCCTGGCCTCAAGTGATCCACCTGCCTCAGCCTCTCAAAGTGCTAGGATTATAGGGATGAGCCACTGCACTGGCCCCCTTTTTTTTCTATACAATGAATATGGACGATTTATCCAAAAGTAATATAATGCTAATTTTTTTTTTTTTTTTTTTTTTTTGAGACAGGATCTTAGTCTGTCACCAGGCTGGTGTGCAGAGGCACTATCACAGCTCTCACTGCAGCCTTCACCTCCTGCCCTTAAGTGATCCTCCCACCTCAGCCTCCCAAGTAGCTGGGACTACAGGCCCATGCCACCACGCCTAATATTTTTATTTTTTGTAGAGATGGCATTTCACTATGTTGCCCAAGCTGGTCTCAAACTTCTGGGCCCAAGCAATCATCCCACCTCTGCCAAAGTGCTGGGATTACAGGTGAGAGCCACTGTGCCTGGCCCTATTTTATACTATTATTTGTTCTTTCTCTGAGGGACATTACAAGGTCTAGATTGTTCAGTTTTCTTTTTTCTGTTTGATAATGGGTCTCTGTCACCCGGGCTGGAGTGCAGTGGCACCACTGTCATTGGTCACTGCAGCCTCAAACTCCTGGGTTCAAGTGATCCTCCTGCCTCAGTCTCCCTAGTAGTTGGGACTACAGGTGTGCACCACTATACTTGGCTAAAGTTTAAAATTCTTTGTAGAGATGGGGTCTTGCTATGTTGTCCAGGCTGGTTTCAAACTCCTAGCCTCAAGCGATCCTCCTGACTTAGCCTGCCAAAGTGCTGGGATTACACATGCGTGCCACTATGCTAGGCCTTGGTTTTCTTTGTATCACAACAAGAAGTAGCAAACATGATACTTGCTGAAGTCATGATAAAATGAACCCAGAAAATCGCCATAGAAAAACAAGGCTGCCGGGCGCGGTGGCTCACGCCTGTAATCCCAGCACTTTGGGAGGCCGAGGCGGGCGGATCACAAGGTCAGGAGATCGAGACCACGGTGAAACCCCGTCTCTACTAAAAATACAAAAAATTAGCCGGGCGCGGTTGTGGGCGCCTGTAGTCCCAGCTACTCGGGAGGCTGAGGCAGGAGAATGGCGTGAACCTGGGAGGCGGAGCTTGCAGTGAGCCGAGATCGCGCCACTGCACTCCAGCCTGGGCGACAGAGCGAGACTCCGTCTCAGAAAAAAAAAAAAAAAAAAAAAAAAAAAAAGAAAAACAAGGCTAATAAGAATAACGCCCTTTCAGCCAGGCACAGTGGCTCACACCTGTAATCCCAGCACTATGGGAGGCCGAGGCGGATGGATCACTTGAGGTCTGGAGTTTGAGACCAGCCTGGTCAATATGGTCAAACCCCATCTGTACTAAAAATACAAAAATCAATCAGGCGTGGTGGCGCACGCCTGTAATCCCAGCTACTTGGGAAGCTGAGGCAGAGGTTGCAGTGAGCTGAGATTGCACTACGGCACTCCAGCCTGGGTGACAGAATGAGACTCTGTCTCACACACACACAAAAAGAATAATGCTCTTTCAACTTCCTGAAAAATTTGTAACAAAATGCTTGTCACAGATACAACTGGTTGTCCAGCAATTCCTGCTCCTTAGCAATTCCTGTTCACCCCTTCTTCCTTAGTATCAATTCCCCTAAACTTTAACTGAAATTGCAGTGAGGTGTGGCCCAGAACTCAGTCCCAGTCAATGGGACAGAAATTCAAGTGTGATATGGGACTTTCAGAAAAGGAGGCATGCCTGGCCAGGCACAGTGGCTCAAGCCTATAATCCCAACACTTTGGGAGGCCGAGGTGGGCGGATCACCTGAGGTCAGGAGTTTGAGACCAGTCAGGCCAACATGGAGAAACCCCGTCTCTAGTAAAAATACAAAAATTAGCCAGGCGTGGTGGCGCACACTTGTAATCTCAGCTACTCAGGAGGCTGAGGCAGCAGAACTGCTTGAACTTGGGAGGTGGAGGTTGCAGGGAGCCGAGATCACACCACTGCACTCCAGCCTGAGCAACAGAGTGAGCCCCGTCTCAAAAAACAAAAAAACAAAACAGGAAAGGAGGCAGGTCCTTCTCTGCTCATTTCTTTTTTTTTTTTTTTTTTTTTTTGAGACGGAGTCTCGCTTTGTCGCCCAGGCTGGAGTGCAGTGGCCGGATCTCAGCTCACTGCAAGCTCCGCCTCCCAGGTTTACGCCATTCTCCTGCCTCAGCCTCCCGAGTAGCTGGGACTACAGGCGCCCACCACCTCGCCCGGCTAGTTTTTTGTATTTTTAGTAGAGACGGGGTTTCACCATATTAGCCAGGATGGTCTCGATCTCCTGACCTCGTGATCCGCCCGTCTCGGCCTCCCAAAGTGCTGGGATTACAGGCTTGAGCCACCGCGCCCGGCCTCTGCTCATTTCTATAAGGAGGCAGCCAGATGAGAAAGTAAGGGTGACAGGGCAGCCAGATGTTCAGAATACAATTCTTTTTTTTTAAATAGAGACAGGGTCTTGCTCTGTTGCTTAGGCTGGAGGGCAGTGCCACAATGATGGCTCACTGGAGCCTTGACCTCCTAGGTTCAAGCTATCCTTCTGCCTCAGCCTCCCAAGTAACTGGGACTATATGCATGTGCTACCACACCCGGCTAAAGGAGTTATACTTTTATCTTGTTTAAACCACTTCTATATTGGTGTCTAGTCACATACTAACTGATACCATGGTCAAATTTTGCCACTAAAACACATAGTTATTACTTTCCTTTCTCCAAGAATACAGGGACTTTTAAAAAACCATTTGTACCATATAGCATGTACATGTGCAAAATGTAAATCTTAATTTTCACCTGAATTTCTTACCCACATCTGCACTTTGCACATCTTTCCCACGAAGAATGACCAAGTTAGCAATGGAAGTGTTAAAATGCAGGTCCTTGTTGAGAGACATTTTACCAAGAGAAGGAAGTCCTGATAAAGGAGGCCGCACATGCCAATCAATACCTACCAAAAGAAAAAAAAAAAGCAAGAGATTTTATTTTATTTACTTAGTTTTCTGAGATGGAGTCTCACTCTGTTGCCTAGGCTGAAGTGAAGTGGCGTGATCTTGGCTCACTGCAACCTCCATCTCCCGGGTTCAAGCGATTCTCCTGCCTCAGTCTCCCCCAGTAGCTGGGTAGACAGGATTAAAGGTGTGTGCCATCACACCCAGCTAATTTTTTTTGCATTTTTAGTAGAGACGGGGTTTCACCATGTTGGCCAGGCTGGTCTCGAACTCCTGACTTCAAATGATCTGCCTGCCTCAGCCTCCCAAAGTGCTGGGATTACAGGCGTGAGCCACTGCACCCAGCCCAAAAGCAAGAGATTTTATAAATGGCTCTGAACAAGAGAAGGAAAATGGTCTTGTGGAATGTGTATATTAGTTTTTTTTGGACAGGGTCTCGTTATGCCACCCAGGCTGGAGTGCAGTGGCTATTCACATGTGTGATCATAGCTCACTGCAGCCTCAAACTCCGGGGCTCCAATGATCCTCCCGCCTTGTCCTCCCATGTATCTAGGACTATAGGCATTATTTTTCCTGTCTAAAAGGGAGGGTCTATCAATTCTCCTATGCCTATTCCACTAGAGTTTGTTGGGGCAAAAAATTGTACTCAAAGGGCTATCTTTGAGTACAAGATATCTTAGGATGGGTGTGATGGCTCATGCCTGTAATCCTAGCACTTTGGTACGCTATGGTGGGAGGATCTCTTGAGCCCAAGAGTTCAAGACCAGCCTGGACAAAATAGTGGTCTCCTCTTCTAAAAAAAAATACAAAAATTAGTCTGGCATCTGTGGCATGCACCTATAGTTCCAGCTACCGGAGAAACTGAGTGGGGAGAATTGCCTAAGCCCAGGAGGTCAAGGCTACAGAGAGCTGTGATCATGCCACTGCACTCCAGCCTGGGTGACAGTGCGAGAAGTCTCACTTGAGGAGTATGAATCCATGCTGCTTTTGGAGGATAAGATTTTGGACCAATGTGCTAATGGTATGTAACTATTGGGGGCCTTGGGAGGGGAAGAATGTACCGTGCATGTGGGAGGACATGACTTAGGGACAGCGCAGAGAACAGCAGTCAGCCTCCAACATGACCCCAATCATCTTCGCTTCCTGGTATTCAAGCCCTGGGGGAGTATGCTCTCACACTGCAGAGGGCTGACCTTAACCAAAAGGATGTTGCAGAAATAACTTCCAAAGCTAGGTCATGAAAGGCATTAACTTCAAGGCCAGGCATGGTGGCTCACGCCTGTAATCTTAGCACTTTGGGAGGCTGAGGCAGGCGGATCACTTGAGGTGAGGAGTTCAAGACCAGCCTGGCCAACATGGTGAAACCCCATCTCCACTAAAAATACAAAAAAAATTTAGCTGGGCGTGGTGGCAGGCGCCTGTAATCTTAGCTACTTGGGAGGCTGAGGCAGGATAATCGTTTGAACCCGGGAGGCAGAGGCTGCACTGAGCCAAGATCGTGCCACTGCACTCCACCCTGCGCGACAGAGCAAGACTCCGTCTCAAAAAGAAAAAAAGGCGGGGGGTCATTAACTTCTGCCTTGCTCCTTCCTGGATCACACATTCTCCCTAAAGGTAGAATACGTAGAAACAGATAGTGATGGTGATAGAAATGGGGTAAATCTTTACATAGAGGCCAGGCGCGGAGGCTCATGCCTGTAATCCCAGCACTTTGAGAGGCTGAGGTGAAAGGATCACTTGAAACCAGGGGTTCAAGACTAGCCTGGGCAACATAGTGAGACCCCCAACTCTCCAAAAATAAAAGAAATAACGAAATTAGGCTGGGTGTGGTGGCTCATGCCTGTAATCCCAGCTCTTTGGAAGGCCGAGGTGGGCAGATCACGAGGTCAAGAGATCGAGACCATCCTGGCCAACATGGTGAAACCTTGTCTTTACTAAAAATACAAAAATTAGCTGGGCGAGGTGGTACATGCCTGTAGTTCCAGCTATTCAGGAGGCTGAGGCAGGGGAATCGTTTGAACTCGGGAGGTGGAGGTTGCAGTGAGCCAAGATTGTGCCACTGCACTCCAGCCTGGCGATAGAGTGAGACTCCATTTCAAAAAAAAAAATAAATAAATAACAAAATTAGTCACTTATGGTGGTACACACCTGTAGTCCTAGCTACAGGAAGCTGCACCGGGGGATCACTTGAGCCCAGGAGTTTGAGGCCGCACTGAGCTATGATTGCACCACTACACTCCAGCCTAGGTGAGAGTGAAACCTGTCTCAAAAACAAAACGCACAAAATCTTCCCACAGAGCAGAGAATATATGAAGAGTTATAAAACTAGATCCTTCAACCAGGCTTATGCCATATATATATTTATTCATATACTATTCATACATGTGTATGAAAACATTTATATGTTCAAACTATACAACTGTGAAAAAATGTTGACACCCAGCCGGGCGCGGTGGCTCATGCCTATAATCCCAGCACTTTGGGAGGCCAAGGCGGGCGAATCACGAGGTCAGTTTAAGACCAGCCTGGCCAATATGGTGAAACCCCGTCTCTACTAAAAAAATACAAAAATTAGACGGGCATGGTGGTGCGCACCTGTAGTCCCAACTATTTAGGATGCTGAGGCAAAAGAATCGCTTCAACCGGGAGGCAGAGGTTGTAGTGAGCCGAGAGCCACTGCACTCCAGCCTGGGTGACAAAGCGAGACTCCATCCCCTCCTCCAAAAAAAAAAAAAAAAAAAGAAAAAGAAAAAATGTTGACACCCTAAAGTTCCACATGGGAACTCAGCAAACTGTGGTTTATTGACCTAAGAGAGCTCAGAGCAGCACGTCTCACACGACTCTAAGGAACATTGTGTTCCTTACCGTATTAACAGGTATAGCTAGAAAAACAGGTACTGTGGCCAAAAAATTCAGGAAGCACTATTTTTACATTTTGTTTACATTTTGCTTACATTTTACATTTTGCTTACCTCCAAACCTCTGGCACTATAATCTAAAATCCGTAAGATATTACAAATAAATGTTGAGAAAATCTACTCTCATAGTATAAAAACCTAACTTATTTTAATCTGTGGTATAATGTATGCTATTAACACCTAGTAGTGATTTCTAGTTACACATGACAGACTGAACATGTCAGTTTCCTGCCACTCTCTCCTCAGATCCTGCTTAATCAATAAAAGGATAACCATAAACAAGAAAAAAAGGGAACAGGAGAGAATGTAACAGCAACAAAATTTTGGAAGCTGGAGAGCAAAGGAACTACTGATTACTGACTGCACAACAAGAAAAAGCTAAAAAGTTTGCCCACAGTTGAGGTCCTGGAAGTAGACCAGACACTTTTCACAGTGGAAAAAAGGCTGGGCACGGTGGCTTACGTCTGTAATCCCAGCACTTTGGGAATTTGAGGCAGGCGGATCGCTTGAGGTCAGGAGTTTGAGACCAGCCTGGCTGACATGATAAAACCCCATCTCTACTAAAAATACAAAAATTAGCTAGGTGTGGCGGTACACATTGGTACACTGGTAGTCCCAGCTACTTGGAAGGCTAAGGTGGGAGGATCACCTGAACCCGGGAGGTGGAGGTTGCAGTGAGCCAAGATGAGGCCACTGCACTCCAGCCTGGGTGACAGAGTGCAACTCCATCTTAAAAAAAAAAAGAAAGAAAGAAAGAAAAAAGAAAATCAAAGTGGGAAAAAAAAAACAGGAGGATTAACTAAAAATCTGTTTGAGAGGCAGCTCTAAGAGCCCCTTCCCCACTCCCTGTGGCAGGGGGAGTGTGCTCTTCTACCCTAGAAGGAGGTTTCTGCTGTGAAAAGGTTAAACTTGGGAGGCTCTGGCCTCAGTGACACCAGGCACAGCCCTGTAGAGAACCTTTGGAAAACCAGGTCACAAAGTAGAAGCTTTCGCAGGAAAGCTTAACAGTCCATGTCTTCCCCGTCCAGCTCTGAAGAGGCTGGCAGCCAGGCTTATCATGCGTTCAGGAAAGAGATGGAGGAGGAAGCAACTGATCAAGAGATAAGATACGCTGAATATGGTATTTGGAAGCCCAACAATAAAATGGCCAGGCAGATCGCCTTACTGTGAAACCCACACAAGTCTGCAACATCCATAAGGGTCCATTCAGTGCTCAGAGCAACTAACTCAGCAAATAATCACTGAGTGTTTACTGTTCCAGGCTCCAAAGATGCAACGGTAAACCAAGTAGATAATAAAGCTTACCTTCTATTGAGATAAACCAAAGACCCATGTCAAGTACGTTCAGAATGCTGGGGACAAAGAGAAAATCCTAAAGCTTCAAGAGATAACAAAATAGGATTGAGAATCAGAACAATATGAGACTTCCTAACAGCAACGCTGCAAGTGAGAAGATGATAGAGCAATGCCTTTGAAATACTCAATGAAAAGAAAATGATTCCCAACCTAGAATCCTATCCCTGGCCAAACTATCATTCAAATGCAATGGCAGAACAGAATAATAATATTTATTTATTTTTATTTTTATTTTTTTGAGACGGGGTCTCACTCTGTCGCCAAGGCTGGAGCGCAATGGTGCAATCTTGGCTCACTGCAACCTCGCTCCACCTCCCAGGTTCAAGGGATTCTCCTGCCTTAGCCTCCTGAGTAGCTGGGATTACAGGCGCCCGCCACCATGCCCGGCTAATTTTTTTTTGTATTTTTAGTAGAGACGGGGTTTCACTGTGTTAGCCAGGATGGTCTCGATCTCCTGACTTCATGATCCACCTGCCTTGGCCTCCCAAAGTGCTGGGATTACAGATGTGAGCCACCGCGCCCAGCCAGAATGATATTTGTAGCCTCAAACACTTTACTTTCCTTGTACTCTTTCTTAGGGAGCTCCTGAAAGGTATGGTCCATCAATATGAGGGAATAAATCAAGAAAGCAGATTTGAAACCTAGGAGGTACAGATATAAATCAGGATGAGGCAAGCAGAGATGCCAGGGCTGGCTGCTTATCAAGCCTGGACAGCAGTAAGTCCAGAATGGAATGGGAAGATAAAGGCCTTCCAGAAGGATGTCTCTAAGCAGATAATGGAAGTAATCGATTACCTGATGGGTTTAAAAATATTGAGAAAGAGTTCTTTTTTTTTGTTTTTGAGACAGGGTTTTGCTCTGTTGCCCAGGCTGGAGTGCAGTGGCATGATCACGGCTCATTTTAAACTCAAACCCCTTGGTTGACGGGATTCTCCTGCCCCCCCCTCCCAAGTAGCTAGAACGGTGCATACCACTATGCCCAGCTAATTTTTTTTTTTTTTTTTGAGACAGAGTCTCGCTCTGTTGCCCAGGCTGGAGAGCAGGGGCGCTATCTCGGCTCACTGCAACCTCTGCCTCCCGGGTTCAAGCCATTCTCCTGCCTCAGCCTCCTGGGTAGCTGGGATTACAGGTGTGTGCTATCACGCCTGGCTGATTTTTTGTATTTTTAGTAGAGATGGGGTTTCTACTACATCCATGTTAGCCAGGATGGTCTTGATCTCCTGACCTCATCAGCCTCAGCCTCCCAAAGTGCTGGGATAACAAACGTGAGCCACTATGATGGGCCAGCTAATATTTTTAAATTATTTTTTTAGAGATGGGGTCTTGCTTTGTTGCTCAAGCTGGTTTTGAACTCCTGGCCTCAAGCGATCCTCCTGCCTCAGCTTCCCAAAGTGCTGAGCTTACAGGCGTGAGCCACCACATCTGAGAAGGGATTCATTTTTTACAGAAAAGTTTGAGGATAAATTGGTGATAGGTACAGGGAATATCAACCAAATAAATATAATGATTAACAACACCAGGAGGGAAAAATAAATTGTACACACACAAAAATATAATCTATGTACACAGTATAAGGCTGTACTATGAATTAATATTTACACAGCAAAAGTAATACAAACATTGAAAACTGATCTAACTCCCAAGTATGTTAGGAGGAAGGATGAAGGTAAATATGAGTGTGTGTATGTGTGAGTGTGCACATACGTGTCAGAGTATATATATATATATGAATGTGGGAATGTGTGTGTGTGTGTGTGTGTGTGTGTAGAGGGGTGTAAGATGATTCAATTCTCAATTTTCTTTTTTTTTTTTGAGATGCAATTTCACTCTTATCACCCAGGCTGGAATGCAGTGGCACTATCTCGGCTCACTGCAACCTCTGCCTCCCAGGTTCAAGCAATTCTCCTGCCTCAACTTCCTAAGTAGCTGGGATTACGGGTGCCTGCCACTATGCCTGGCTAATATTTTTTGTATTTTTAATAGAGAAAGGAGGCCGGGCGCGGTGGCTCACGCCTGTAATCCCAGCACTTTGGGAGGCCGAGGCGGGCGGATCACAAGGTCAGGAGATCGAGACCATCCTGGCTAACACTGTGAAACCCCGTCTCTACTAAAAATGCAAAAAAATTAGCCGGGCGAGGCGGCGGGCGCCTGTAGTCCCAGCTACTCGGGAGGCTGAGGCAGGAGAATGGCGTGAACCCGGGAGGCGGAGCTTGCAGTGAGCCGAGATCGCGCCACTGCACTCCAGCCTGGGCGACTAAGCGAGACTCTGTCTCAAAAAAAAAAAAAAAAAAAAAAAAAATAGAGAAGGGGTTTCACCATGTTGGCCAGGCTGGTCTTGAACTCCTGACCTCAGGTGATCCACCCACCTCGGCCTCCCAAAGTGCTGGGATTACAGGCATTAGCTACCATGCCCAGCCCAATTCTCAATTTTCATACTAGGAATGCAAGAGATAACAACATAAGTAAAACATTTATAACTATGGAGGAAAATTCTAGATGAAATAGCTAAAGACGTTGAAAGTAGTTTCATCTGTGTAATGGGGAGGTGTAGGATTGCTGTTTTCCTTGTCATAAAATCATACCAGACATTACTTAACTTTTTTCTTTTTTTTTTTTTTTTTTTGAGAAAGGGTCTCACTGTCACCCAGGCTGAAGTGCAGTGGTGTGATCACAGCTCACTGCAGCCTTGACCTCCCGGGCTCAGGTGATTCTCCCACCTCAGTCTCCCAAGTTGCTGGGAATACAGGCCCATGTCACCATGTCCAGATAACTTTTTATATTTCTTGTAGAGGAGTTTTGCCATGTTTCCCAGGCTGGTCTCGAACTCCTGGGCTCAAGCGCTTCTCCTGCCTTGGCCTCCCAAAGTGCTAGGATTACAGGTATGAGCCACCATACCTGGCCCATTACTTGACCTTTTAAAAAACTGAGATGTAATTGGCCGGGCGCGGTGGCTCACGCCTGTAATCCCAGCACTCCAGGAGGCTGAGATGGGCGGATCACGAGGTCAGGAGATAGAGACCATCCTGGCTAAGATGGTGAAACCCCGTCTCTACTAAAAATATAAAAAATTAGCTGGGTGCAGTGGTGGACGCCTGTAGTCCCAGCTACTCGGGAGGCTGAGGCAGGGGAATGGCGTGAACCCGGGAGGTGGAGGTTGCAGTGAGCCAAGATGGTGCCACTGCACTACAGCCTGGGTGACAGAGCAAGACTCAGTCTCAAAAAAAAAAAAAAGTAAGATATACTTTAAATACAGTGCAATGTATGGATTTAAGTATATATTTAAGTGAGTTTTGGCTACTTGATTTTTTAAACTATGTTCATTACTTTGATTAAAAAAAAAAATCTGGCACTCATTTGAAATGTCTTTTGGTAATGAAACTGTGAAGTGATTAAGAAACCCTCCCAGGATGCCCTGGTGAGTTTCTGCCGGAGTCTCCCTAGCCGGAAGAAAGGTCCATTATCTCAACTACTCCAAGCCAGTATACAGTCTCAATATAGAGACTCCAGGACGGACACTTTTTCCAGTTTGTGGGCTGCATATTTTGGACTACTCTTTACCTTCTTCCATCTTTGCATTAGAAATGAGCATCTGTCTCAAATGCTTGAGCAGGCCAGCCCAAGTAAATGTGCTGTATGCCAATGAATTCTCAGACATGTGAGGCACGTTACGAATACTCAGCATCTTGAATTCAGGATGGGGAACTAAATGCTCCATTAAGTCTCCTGTAAAGAAAAAAAAATATCTGAACTAATTTTTTTTTATTCCACATTGTTGCCAATGGTCTACATAAAACCATGATTTGAAGGTTTTCTGGGCCAAATGTTTTTTTCTCTTCTTAGACCAGAATTATTTAATCTTTAATATGAATACAATTTCAGAGACAATGTCTATTACACACCACCTCTTCACTTCATTTTAGCACCGACTTGAGCATGAGCGAGAAAATACACTTTGCCAAAAAGCAAACTACAATTTAGAAGCTTAATAACTGTAAATGTGAATGAAATATTTAGGTAAACTCCAGGAAAACAAAGTAAACATGAGAATTGATACGCTTTTCCTGTCATTCTATGTTCACTAAATATTGTTCTATTCTTTCTTTTTTTTGAGACGGAGTCTTATTCTGTCGCCAGGCTGGAGTGCAGTGGCGTGATCTCAGCTCACTGCAACCTCCGCCTCCTGGGTTCACGCCATTCTCCTGCCTCAGACTCCTGAGTAGCTGGGACTACAGGCACCCGCCACCACGCCCAGCTAATTTTTTGTACTTTAGTAGAGATGGGGTTTCACCATGGTGGCCAGAATGGTCTCGATCCCCTGATCTCGTGATCCACTTGCCTCGGCCTCCCAAAGTGCCGGGATTACAGATGTGAGCCACTGCACCCATCCCACTAAATATTCTTTTAGGAATATTACTAGATTTTTTTTTTTTTTTTTTTTTTTTTAGTAGAGACAGGGTTTCACCATGTTGGCTGGGCTGTTCTTGAACTCCTGACCTCAGGTGATCCACCCGCCTCAGCCTCCCAAAGTGCTGGGATTACAGACGTGAGCCACCGCGCCTGGCTCAAGATTTTTACATATTGTATCTGGTTAGGTGATAATCAAAACCTGTTAATATGAAAGTTAATATGAGCCAGGTGTGGTGGCTCACGCCTGTAATCCCAGCACTTTTGGAGGCTGAGGTGGGCAGATCATGAGGTCAGGAGTTTAAGGGCAGCCTGGTCGACATGGTGAAACACCGTTTCTACTAAAAATATGAAAATTAGCCAGGCATGGTGGCGGGCACCTGTAATCCCAGCTACTCGGGAGGCTGAAGCAGGAGAATCGCTTGAACCTGGGAGGCGAAGGCTGCAGTGCATCGTGCTCCAGGCTGGGGGACAAAGCGAGACTCTGTCTCAAAAAAAACCAAAAGTTAACATGAAACTCTATTTGGAAAGAAGACGAGATTAGATATTCCTTAAGACAGGAATGTGCCTATCTTTAGAAACTTGTATTTATGATGAAATAGAATTAAGGAGAAAGGCTAATTTCCTTTACATTCACAGCTGTCTCATATATTTATAGAAAATACCTTGAGGATAGGGAAAAATATATTACCATAATATGAAACAAACTTTATACCATTGAGTACAAACTCATAATATACATCCTAAAGAAAGAACAAATTTTGACACAAACATCTATAAGATGCCACGCAGGTGGGCTTGTGCGAATGGAATGTCCTCTAAATGTAGAATTCTTTTCCGTAAAATACCTACAGTTGAATTCTACTGCATAGCACAAGTAAATATACAGTAGTCAGAAAATAATTCCTGAGCACTATGGCATGAATTCTTTTTTTTTCTTTTTAGACAGTGTTTTGTTCTGTTGTCTAGACTGGAGTGCAGTGGCACAATCAAAGCTCTGCAACCTCGAACTCCTGGGCTTAAGTGACAGCCCCATCTCAGCTTCCCTAGTAGCTGAGGTTACAGGTGCGCACCACAATGCCTGTTTTTTTTTTTTGTTGGGGGAACGGAGTTTCGCTCTTATTGCTCAGGCTGGAGTGCAGTGGCGTGATCTTGGCTCACTGCAACCTCCCCCTCCCAGGTTCAAGCAATTCTCCTGCCTCAGCCTCCCAAGTAGCTGGGATTACAGGCATGTGCCACTACACTCAGCTAACTTTTTATTTTTGACTCCCAACCTCAGGTGATCTGCCCGTCTTGGCCTCCCAAAGTTTTGGGATTACAGGCATGAGCCACCATACCCGGCCACTTTTTAAATTCTTAGTAGAGATAAGGTCTTGCTACACTGCCCAGGCTGGCTTCGAACTCCTGGCCTCAAGTGATCTTCCCACCCTGGCCTCCTAAAGCACTGGGATTACAGAAGTGAGCCATGGTGCCCAGCCAATGCATGAATTATTAATCGTTGCAATCTGCTCTCCCTTCCAGCTTTCTTGTTCAGCTACTCTTACCTTAACCATTGTGTGTGTGTGTGTGTGTGTGTGTGTGTGTGTGTGTGTGTGTGTGTGTGTTTTTAAACAGAGTCTTGCTCTGTCGCCCAGGCTGGAGTACAGTGGTGCAATCTCAGCTGACTGCAACCTCTGCCTCCCGGGTTCAAGAGATTCTCCTGCCTCAGTCTTCTGAGTAGCTGGCATTATAGGCACCCGCCACCACACCTGGCTAATTTTTGTATGTTTTGTAGAGCCAGGGTTTCAACATATTGGCCAGGCTGGTCTCAAACTTCTGACCTCAGGTGATCCACCCACCTCAGCCTCCCAATGTGCTGGGATACAGGCGTGAGCCACCCCGCCTGGCCACCTTAACCATTCTTAAACCTCCTTGAGACCTTAATCCATGGAGTGCCTGCCTTTCAATCAGTCTTCCTCTTTCTGGCAAAATCCCAGTCTTGGGCCAACCCCACTCCTCACCTTCTGTCAGAGCACAACTATGGAAAGTCATGCCACATGGCAGACTCAGACCTCTTTGAATTCCCAATCTCCACACACTATGGTGACGCCCACATTGACAACTCTGGATGAGACGGGAAACCTCAGGAAGGTTCTGAAAAGGGGAGCAACAGGATCTGACTTACGCTTTTAAAAACTGCAAAGCCAGAGTTCAGTCTGGCTGCCGTACTTAGGAAAAGGCTAGGGCTGGGTGCAGTGGCTCACGCCTGTAATCCTAGCACTTTGGGAGGCCGAGACGGGCGGATTATTTGAGATCAGGAATTCGAGACCAGCCTGGCCAATATGGTGAAACTCCGTCTCTACTAAAACTACAAAAATCAGTTGGGCATGGTAGCATGTGCCTGTAGTGTAGTCCCAGCTACTCAGGAGGCTAAGATAGGAAAATTGCTTGAACCCAGGAGGCGGAGGTTGCAGCGAGTCAAGATTGCACCACTGCACTCCAGCCTGGGCAACACAGCGAGACTCTGTCTCAAAAAAAAAAAAAGAAAAATCACTGACTTGTACACTTTAAATGGGTGAATTGCATGCTAGGTGAGTTATATCTCAATGTGGTTTCTATTAAGAAAAGAAAGAGAGAGAAAGAATCCTGAAGAAGAGCAGTGGATACCCATTGCCCTTTAGCAACTTCTCAGTTTTTCAATAAGACAGTTCAGAGAACTAAGCAGATGTGAAGAAAGGGTTTTGAGATAAGCAAGACTTAAGTGTATCTTCAGGTAGAGGAAGAGACAGAAAGAATAAACTTTGAAGCTTTCAGAACATAAGGCTTTCCTATAATTAACATATAAAGGGACAAATACCTAGTGGATTTCGTCTGTAGTGAAATGAGCTTTCTGCAGAATAAGTAGGCTGGAACACACTTCCCAGCTGATGTGCGAGGACTTGATTGATATCACTAAAGGAGATCTGCTTGATATTCATCAGTTTTGCACAGATCTTATGGACGGCATCATTCTCATGAACAAGGAGGGCGTCTGAAGATCGGTACAAGTGAGAAAGTGTCAAAATGGAGTTGTAGTTTTGAACAATAACCTGGAGAGGAAAAGGTCAGAAAAAAGAAAGGTAGGAGAGAATAATGGTTAAGATTACAGCTTCTCAAGGCATCCTGGCTGGGTTCAAATCCGGGCTCTGTCACTTTCTAGCTGTATGATCTTGGACAAGTTTTTTAATCTCTCTATGCTCGGTTTCCCTTTTTTTTTTGAGACAGAGACTCGCTCTGTCACCCAGGCTGGAGTACAGTGGCACCATCTCTGCTCACTGCAACCTCGGCCTCCCGGTTCAAGATTCTTGTGTCTTAGCCCCCTGAGCAGCTGGAATTACAGGCTTGTGCCACCATGCCCAGCTAATTTTTGTGTTTTTAGTAGAGACAATGTTTCACCATGTTGGCCAGGCTGGTCTCAAACTCCTGGCCTCAAATGATCTACCTGCCTTGTCCTCCTAAAGTGCTGGGATTATAGGCATGAGCCACTGTGCCCAGCCAGTTTCCTCATTTGTAATGGTTTCCTAGAATTGTAAGGATTAATGACACAATGCAAGTTAAACACTTAGAACAAGGCCTTGTATGGGCACAACAAAAATTGGCCATTATTTTCATACTTATTTCCTACTTCATTTCTTGTAGTGACTTGTGTTGCCTGATTTGTTTCTTCAACTAGGTTGATCAACAGGAAATTGGCTTATATAGAAATTTTCAAGCCAGGCGCAGTGGCTCACACCTGTAATCCCAGCACTTTGGGAGGCTGAGGTGGGTGGATCACCTGACGTCGAGAGTTCGAGACCAGCCTGACCAACATTGAAAACCCTCGTCTCTACTAAAAAGACAAAATTAGCCGGGTGTGGTGGCGGGCACCTGTAATCCCAGCTACTCGGGAGGCTGATGCAGGAGAATCACTTGAACCGGGGAGGCGGAAGTTGCGGTGAGCCGAGATCGCGCTACTGCACTCCAGCCTGGGCAACAAGAGCAAAACTCCGTTTCAAAAAAAAAAGACATTTTCTCCCAATGTGAAGAAATAAAAATTACTTGAAGGTGGCAATGGCACCATGAATCCCAACATGAGGTCAAGGTGTCTGCTTTGTATACTGGAATAAGAGAGACATTCTCAGGAATCAGTTCCTGAGAGAAGCAGCACAATCACCTTCTCTGACTTTTTTTTTTTTTTTTTTTTTTTGAGACGGAGTCTCGCTGTGTCTCCCAGGCTGGAGTGCAGTGGCGTGATCTCGGCTCACTGCAAGCTCCGCCTCCCGGGTTCACGCCATTCTCCCGCCTCAGCCTCCCAAGTAGCTGAGACTACAGGCGCCCGCCACCACGCCCGGCTATTTTTTTGTATTTTTAGTAGAGACGGGGTTTCACCATGTTAGCCAGGATAGTCTCGATCTCCTGACCTCGTGATCCACCCGCCTCGGCCTCCCAAAGTGCTGGGATTACAGGCTTGAGCCACCGCGCCCGGCCTTCTCTGACTTTTTATTTGAGACAAAGTCTTGCTCTGTTGCCCAGGCTGGAGTGCAGTGACATGATTTTGGCTCAATGCAACCTCCGCTTCACAGGTTCAAGCGATTCTCCTGCCTCAGCCTCTTGAGTAGCTAGGACAATAGGCAGGAGTCAAAATGCCTGGCTAAGTTTTGTATTTGTAGTAGAGACGGGGTTTCGCCATGTTGGCCAGGCTGGTCTCGAACTCCTGGCCTCAAATGATCTGCCCACCTTAGCCTCCCAAAGTGCTGGGATTACAGACATGAGCTCCTCGGCCTGGCCATTCTCTGAAAAAAAAAATTTTTTTTTTTTTTTTTTTTTGAGACAGAGTCTCGCTCTGTCGCCGAGGCTGGAGTGCAGTTGGGCTCGGCTCACTGCAAGCTCCACCTCCCGGGTTCACACCATTCTCCTGCCTCAGCCTCCCAAGTAGCTGGGACTACAGGCGCCTGCACCACGCCCGGCTAATTTTTTGTATTTTTAGTAGAGACGGGGTTTCCCCATGTTAGCCAAGATGGTCTCGATCTCCTGACCTCATGATCCTCCCACCTCGGCCTCCCAAAGTGCTGGGGTTACAGGCGTGAGCCACCGTGCCCGGCCAAAAAAATTTTTTTTAAGAAGTCTTGCTCTTGTCACTCAGGCTGGAGTGTAGTGGCGTGATCTTGGCTCACTGGAACCTCTGCCTCCCGGGTTCAAGAGATTCTCCTGCCTCAGCCTCCGAGTACCTGGGACTACAGGTATGTGCCACCACAGCCAGCTAATTATTGTACTTCTAGTAGAGATGGTGTTTCTCCATGCTGGCCAGAGTGATTTCAAACTCCTGACCTCAGGTGATCCACCCACCTTGGCCTCCCAAAGTGCTGGGATTACAGGTGTGAACCACTGTGTCCAGCCATTATCTAAAAAAAATTTTTTTTTGAGATGGAGTCTCATTCTGTTGTCAGGCTGGAGTGCAATAGCACGATCTCGGCTCACTATAGCCTCTGCCTCCCAGGTTCAAGCGAATCTCCTGTCTCAACCTCCAAAGTAGCTGAGACTACAGGCCTGTGCCACCATGGCCAGCTAAGTTTTGTATTTTTAGTAGAAACAGGGTTTCACCATGTTGGCCAGGATGGTCTCAATCTCTTGACTTCCTGATCTGCCCGCCTTGGCCTCCCAAAGCGCTGGGATTACAGGCGTGAGCCACTACGCCCGGCCTCTCTGAAATTTTTAAAAACAAGGATACTTCATCTGTTTGGAAAAGTTTAAGCGAAGATACATATATACCACATATAATATGGTACTCATGAAAGTACCATATTATATAACCATTCTGGAAGCCGTAACTTAACATTTCCAATGAAAGGGTGAGAGCAATCTTTTACCCACATTTATTTCTATTGCAAAGAACATAAAACATAAGCTTTTCAATTAACATGTACATACCTCACCAGTTCCATAAGGCCAAATAATCTGATTCATTTTCAATGAGTTTGAGTACTGATCTTGTAAATTCTGTGTAACAAAAGCTCCTATTCCTGATCCTGTGCCCCCAGCCATACTCATTATGATGAAAAAACCACTGAAAGAGTCACATTTCTCCACTTCCTTCCGGATTAGGTCCATTATAGATTCTTCATGCCTGGGTCCATGAACAGAGTAACTATGCAATGGCAAAAGAAACAAACACAAACACTTTTCAATTTAACCACAGATATGTAATGCAGAGAGACAGATACAGAATAGAGAGGTTTTTTTCAAAACTATGGAAGTGAAGAACTATCATGAAAGGTACAGGTATCCTGATTGACAAAATTTTAAATACATAAGTTGAATATATTTAACCCACTTATGCCTAGTGTTCCATTATTGGAACGCTAAGCATGTGGGAGTTATTTATAACCTATTGCTCAAGGCCATTACTAAGGTCTGATTTTTCACTCATGCAAAAATTTAAAAAATTGCAACCTCTGGCATAAATGGGTTAACAGGTGAACAGGACTGCTAGCAGAGGGAATTTACAGAGTATAGAAAGTTCTCTTTATTTTTGAGGTTTTAATCAGATACTTTAATATTTGGAGTTTTCATAGTTGTACTTATTTTGGGGGTACATGTGATATTTGGGTATGTGTACACACGTGTAATGATCAAATAAGGGTAAATGGGATATCTATCACTTCAAACATTTATCTTTTCTATGTGTTGGGAACATTACAATTCTTCTCTTTTAGCTATTTTTTTTTTTCTGAGACAGAGTTTCACTCTTGTCACTGGGGCTGGAGTATAATGGCACGATCTTGGCTCACTCTCACTCCTGGGTTCAAGAGATTCTCCTGTCTCAGCCTCCCGAATAGCTGGGATTACAGGTGCCCGAACCACACCAAAAGAAAAATAATAATTTTTGTATTTTTAGTAGAGACAGGGTTTCACCATGTTGGCCAGGCTGGTCTCAAACTCCTGAACTCAGGTGATCAGCCTGCCTCAACCTCCCAAAGTGCTAAGATTACAAGTGTGAGCCACTGTGCCTGGCTACTTTTACTATTTTGATATATACAATAAATTATCAACTATAATTTCCTTACTGTATTATTGAATACTAGAGTGTATTGCTTCTATCTAACTGTATTTTTGTACCCATTAGCAACTTTTTAAAAAAAAAAAAAACAAGGCCGGGCGCGGTGGCTCAAGCCTGTAATCCCAGCACTTTGGGAGGCCGAGATGGGTGGATCACGAGGTCAGGAGATCGAGACCAGCCTGGCTAACACGGTGAAACCCCGTCTCTACTAAAAAATACAAAAAACTAGCCAGGCGAGGTGGCGGGCGCCTGTAATCCCAGTTACTTGGGAGGCTGAGGCAGGACAATGGCGTGAACCCGGGAGGCGGAGCTTGCAGTGAGCTGAGATCCGGCCACTGCACTCCAGCCCGGGCGACAGAGCGAGACTCCGTCTCAAAAAAAAACAAAAAAAAACAAAAAAAACAAAAAAAAACAAAAAAAACCAGGGTCTTACTATGCTGCCCAGGCTGGTTGTGAACTCCTGGCCTTAAGCAATTCTCCTGCCTCAGTCTCCCAAAGTGCTGGAATTACAGGCATGAGCCACTGTGCCCAGTGAGCAACTTCTTTTAATCTTCCTCCAAAAGTTCTCTTTTGTAGGCTAAGGGTATTCCTTTTCTCCTTTTTTATTTTGTTTTTGTGTTTTTTGAGATGGAGTCTCACTCTGTCGCCCAGGCTGGGGTGCAGTGGCACCATTTCAGCTCACTGCAACCTCTGCCTCCCAGGTTCAAGTGATCCTCCCACCTCAGTCTCCTGACTAGCTGGGATTACAGGCGAGCGCCACCACACCCAGCTAATTTTTGTATTTTTAGTACAGAGAGGCTTTCACCATGTTGGCCAGGCTGGTTTCAAACTCCTGACCTGAAGTGATCTGCCTGCCTCAGCCTCCCAAAATGTTGGGATTACAGGTATCAGCCATGGCGCCTGGCACCCCTCACCCCATCTCTTTTCTCCTTTTTGAGTTAGGGTCTTTTTCCATCACCCAGCCTGGAGTGAAATGTGAAGTGCAGTGACACAATCACAGCTTACTGCAGCCTTGCCTTGACCTCTCAGGCTCAAAAAATTCTCCCATCTCAGCCTCCTAAGTAACTAGAACTACAAGCGCATGCAACCATCCCTGGCTAATTTTTTTTACTGAGATGCAGTCTTGCCCTGTTGGCCAGGCTGGAGTGCTGTGGCATGATCTCTGCTCACTGAAACCTCTGCCACTTGGGTTCAAGTGATTCTCCTGCCTTAGTTTCCCAATTAGCTGGGACCACAGACGCAGTTCAGCACGCCCAGCTAATTTTTATATTTTTAGTAGAGACGGTTTCACCATGTTGGCCAGGCTGGTCTCAAACTTCTGACCTCAAGTGATCCGCCCGCCTCAGGCTCCCAAACTGCTGGGATCACAGGCAAGAGCCACCATACCCAGCCACCCGGCTAATTTCTTTTTTTTTTTTGAGGCAGATTCTCACTCTGTTGCCCAAGCTGGAGTGCCGTAGCGTGATCTCGGCTCACTGCAACCTCTGCCTCCCGGGTTCAAGTGATTCTTCTGCCTTAGCCTCCCAAGGAGCTAAGACCATAGGCACAGGCCACCACACCCATCTAATTTTTTAATTTAAAAATTTTTTTTTTATTTTTTGAGATGGAGTTTTGTTCTTGTTGCCCAGGCTGGAGTGCAATGGCATGACCTGGGCTCACCACAACCTCCACCTCCTGGGTTCAAGTGATTCTCCTGCCTCAGCCTCCTGAGTAGCTAGGATGGCGTCTACCACCACGCCCAGCTAATTTTTTCTATTTTTCAGTAGAGACAGGGTTTTACTGTGTTGCCAGGCTGGTCTCAAACTCCTTTCCTCAGATGATCTGCCCACCTCGGCCTCGCAAAGTGCTGGGATGACAGGCGTGAGCCATTGCGACAGGCCTAATTTTGGTATCTTTAGTAGAGATAGGGTTTCATCATGTTGGCCAGGCTGGTCTCAAACTCCTGACCTCAAGTGATCCACCACCTTGGCCTCCCAAAGTGTTGGGATTACAGGCGTGCACCACTGTGCCTAGCCTCACCTGGCTAATGTCTTTTCAAAATTTTTTCGTAGTGACAGGGCCTCTCTCTGTTGCCTAGGCTAGACTTGAACTCCTGGGCTCAAGTGATCCTCCTGCCTTGGCCTCCCAAATTGCTGGGATTACAGGGGTGAGTAGTGGCCATTCCTTTACCTGGGGCTTTCAATAATACCAGGTAGTTCTACAAGTTTGTGATACAGTATAATATTTAATATTCCTAACAACAGTCCTGAAGCAGTGGTTCTTAAACTGTGCTGCACATGGCCGGGCGCAGTGGCTCATGCCTGTAATCCTAGCACTTTGGGAGGTGGAAGCGGGTGGATCACTTGAGGTTAGGAGTTTGACAGCAGCCTGGCCAAGACAGTGAAATACAGTATCTACTAAAAGTACAAAAATTAGCCGGGCATGGTAGCGTGTGCCTGTAGTACCAGCTATTCGGGAGGCTGAGGCAGGAGAACCACTTGAACCCGGGAGGCAGAGACTGCAGTAAGCTGAGATCGCACCACTGCACTCCAGCCTGGGCGACAGAGCGAGACTCTTGTCTTTAAAAAAAAAAAAAAAAAAAAAAACTTGCTGCACATTAAAGTCACGTAGGGACCTTTAAAAAATCCCAACAGCAGGCAGGGCCGGTGGTGCACACCTGTCATCTCAGCACTCTGGGAGGCGGGGGCAGGTGGATCATCAGAGGCCAGGAGTTCCAGACCAGCCTGGGTAACATGGTGAATCCTCACCTCTACTAAAAAAATACAAAAATTAGCTGGGCATAGTGGTACATGCCTGTAGTCCCAGCTACTCGGGAGGCTGAGGCAGGAGAATGGCGTGAACCTGGCAGGCGGAGCTTGGAGTGAGCCGAGATCGCGCCACCGCACTCCAGCCTGGGCGACTGAGCAAGACTCCGTCTCAAAAAAAAAAAAAAAACAACACACCAAAAACCCAACATCAGGCCTTTACCCCATATCAGTTAAATCAGTATCTCGGCAGAAGGGAAACGTGAAGGTGAAGATGGCAGTGGCCAGGGCCGGGTTCCTGGGAATCCAGTGGCCACAAAGGGCATCCCAGAACGTGGTGCCACTGGGCGCATGGACAGCCTCCCGCATGACCAATGACATGCTCCCAGCGTCCTATCCTAGGACCCCAGAAGGACGGGCCGCCACCCCCAAGAAGTATAATATGTGTGTGGGAGACTATGAGCCTTATCCGGATGATGGCATGCGGTATGGCGACTACCCAAAGCTCCCTGACTGCTCACAGCATGAGAGGAATCCATGGTATAGCTGGGACCAGCCGGACCTGAGGTTGAACTGTGGTGAACCAACGCACTGGCACCTAGACATGTATACCAGGAATCGTGTGGATATGTCCCCCACACCTGTTTCTTGGAATGTCACGTGTATGCAGCTGTTCAGCTTCATGGCTTTCATGACATTCATGTTCTGGGTGGGGGACATGTACCCCGTCTACCAGCCTGTGGGACCAAAGCAGTATGCTTGCAATAATCTGTACCTGGAACGAGGCAGTGATCCCTCTAAAGAACCTGAGTCGGTGGTTCACTATGAGATCTGAGGAGGCTTTGTGGGCTTTTGTGTCCTCTAACTAGGACTCCCTCATTCCTAGAAATTTAACCTGAATGGAATCCCTAATAAAACTCAGTGCTGTGGTTAAAAAAAAAAAAAAAATCAGAATCTCTCGAAGTGAGCCGTAGGCACCACGACTTTTCCAAAGAACCTCAGGAAATTCTAATATGCAGCATAGTTTGGGAACTACTGTCTTGTAGTATTTTCTATCATTGAGATATCTGCCAGATACGGATATTGTATCTGGTAAGTTGTTATATCTTGGTAAGTTAGTTTGCAGCATGACAGTGAGGAAGATGGAAAATCCTGCTGAAAGAGATCCTTGAGTTCAACATTACCTGTACCTTAAGCACAGACACAGGCATGGAATGAGAGTTTCTTCTGGGTAAAATCAAATTCTAAATCTAAAACAGCAATTTCAAGATTATGTGCTTGGTATATCAACTGTACAGTTCTAACTTCGCTATCTATTAATCGACTGTGTAGCTGTCACTAAATTGAAAATCACAAGGAATTATTCTTACCCATATGCCCAGTTGTTTCCAGAACCTTGTTTTTGACAGAAGCATGCATGCTGACCATATTTCCATCGGCCAGACTGGGCAGCCTTTGACAGTGTTTGATTGATAACTTTGGGTTCCATGTCAACAAGAACAGCCCGGGCAATTGGAACTAGAGGGGGAAAACAAAAACAAAAACATCAAAAGAAAAAAATATTTCTTATGTCTTATTTGAGTAACTCAGAGCATAAGTGTCCAAATACCAAAAAAAAAAAAAAAAATTCCAGGGGTTGGAGATAGAAAGATCTGCCATACTGCTTAGAAATCCCAGTGGGCAGCAGCAGGCATATGCAGATGTCCACCAAGCCCAGCATTTGCTAAGCAGGCTGAATCAGTGCAGGCCTAAAAGAATACCTGGATCAGATAAGCCGGGCGTGGTGGCACGTGACTATAATCCCAGCTACTTGGGAGGTTGAGGCAGGAGAATCGTTTGAAACTGGGAGATGGAGGTTGCACTGAGCCAAGGTTGCACCACTGAACTCCAGCATGGGCAACAGAGTGAGACTCTGTTTCAAAAAAAGAAAAAAATAAGAGTACCTGGGTCAAGACTACAAACATATGCTGAATGCTTATGATGTGCCACAGACTGTGCTGGGAATACGGAGATGAAGACATCAAACTAGCCTTAGAAAGGGCAGGTGAGAGGCTGGGCGTGGTGGCTCATGCCTGTAATCCCAGTATTTTGGGAGGCTGAGGGAGGTGGATCATTTGAGGCCAGGAATTAGAGACCAGTCTGGCCATCACAGTGAAATCCTGACTCTACTAAAAATACAAAATTGGCCAGGTGCGGTGGCACATGCCTGTAATCCCAGCACTTTTGGAGGCTGAGGCGGGCGGATCACCCGAGGTCAGGAGTTCAAGACCAGATTGGCCAACATGGTGAAACCCTGTCTCTACTAAAAATACAAAAAATTAGTTGGGTGTGGTGGCGCATGCCTGTAGTCCCAGCTACTCAGGAGGCTGAGGCAGGAGAATTGCTTCAGCCTGGTAGTCAGAGGTTGCAGTGAGTCGAGATCATACCACTGCACTCCAGTCTGGGTGACAGAGCTAGACTCTGTCTTAAAAAAAAAAATAAAAGAAAGAAAGAAAGAAAAAAGAAAGAGAGCCTGTAATCCGAGCACTTTGGGAGGCCAAGGCAGGCGGATCACTTGAGATCAGGCGTTCAAGACCAGCCTGGCCAACGTGGCAAAACCCTGTCTCTACTAAAAATATAAAAATTAGCCAGACATGGTGGTGGGCACCTGTAATTCCAGCTACTTGGGAGGCTGTGGCAGGGGAATTGCTTGAACACGGGAGACGGAGGTTACAGTGAACCAAGATCACGCCACTGCACTCCAGCCTGGGTGACAGAGCGAGACTCCCTCAAAAAAAAAAAAAAAGAGAGAGAGAAAAGAAAGAGCCAGGCATGGTGGCATGCACTTGTAGTCCCAGCTACTCAGGAGACTGAGACCTGTGAATAGTCACTGTACTCCAACCTGGGTAACATAGTGTAGCAAGAACCTGTCTCTACAAGAAAAAGAAAAAAAGAAAAGAAAAACAGTAGTTGGATCTGGTGATTCGGAGGTCACTGGAAACCTTTTTTAGAGCAGCTTCAATGGTGCTATGAGGCAGAAGCAGGATCATAGGTGATTAAGCAGGGTCCTCTTTTGAGAATCTTAGAAGAAAGGCAAAGAGATAACAAGGGAGACGAAAGCTATAGTCAAGAGATGAGTTTTGTTTGGTTGGTTTTAAATTGGTGAGATCTGAGCATGTGGAAGGGAAAATGCCACTGGAAAAGCAAAGATTATTAACATAGAAATGAAAAGCAAAAACAAAGTCATTCCCTAGTGAGATGGGAAGGAATGGGGTTTGAAAACCATGAGGAAGGCCTGGCTTTGAAGGGGTTGGTTCTATCAGAGTAAAGGAGAGGACTGTGGGCCACACCTACCTCCATTCTCCTCCTCACTGAAGAATCTCTCTTTGCAAGATGCTTGATATGCCTCATTCTCTCTCTTACAGCAGAGTCCCTGGGAACTGTGTGAGTCACTAAGCAAAGCATCAAAAACTTCAAAACCAATCTGATTGCCACACTGACCAAGTTGCACTGTTACAATTGACATGCTGAGCCACAAACTAGGTGTATTACCTCTAAAAACAACCTGTAATCGAAAAAAATAGGCTTTGAGAACTACTACATTACTAATAAGAACAAATAAAATGCCATATGTGTTAATTATATATCAATAAAAAGTCTTTTTTTTTTTTCCCCCTGAGATGGAGTCTTGCTTTGTCGCCCAGGCTAGAGTGCAGTGGCACACTTTCGGTTCACTGCAACCTCCGCCTCCCAGGTTCAAGCGATTCTCCTGCCTCAGCCTCCTGAGTAGCTGAGATTACAGGCACGTGCTCCCATGCCTGGCTAATTTTTGTATTCTTAGTAGAGACGGGGTTTCACCATGTTGGCCAGGTTGGTCTTGAACTCTTGACCTCGTGATCTGCCCACCGCGGCCTCCCAAAGAGCTGGGATTACAGGCGTGAGCCACCGCACCCGGCCCAAAAAGTCATTTTAAAATGCCACATACATATATAATGTTGGAGATGGAACAGCTGCATTGTCTAAGGAGCCAGTCATTCAAGGAAGTTATCTTACTCTCTATATGGTTTTGGGATTTGTGATTTACTGTACATGAATCCATTCATACACAGCTCAATAGTTTCCAAAATCTGATTTATACTTTTTTCCTAAACATACATTTAAAACAAAACATTCTCCTCAGTTGAGGTGTGATCAAAGAAAAAAAGAGGCTGGGTGCCGTGGCTCACACCTGCAATGCCAGCATTTTGGGAGGCTGAGTTGGGAGGATCACGTTAGCTGGCTGTTCTAGACCTGGTCAACATGGCAAAACCCTGTTTGTACAAAAAATACAAACATTAGCTGGGCGTGGTGGTGTGCGCCTGCAGTCCAAGCTACTCAGGAGGCTGAGGTGGGAGGATCACCTGAGCCTGGGAGGTCAAGGCTGCAGTGAGCCAAGATGTTGCCACTGCACTCCAGCCTGGGTGACAGAGTGACATCCTCCTGTCTCAAACAAACAAAAAAAAAAAGATTAAAAAATAAAAATAAAAACAAGACAAATGTCGATTGAAGAAATTAGTAGTACCACTCTTCACACCACAAGAACATGTAGAATGCAAAAGTGAGCTCAATATTGCACATTCAATTAACATTAATTTTCTCTCTTCTAAATATGACTTAGGCTTTCTCCACTAGTCTAGCCTGGTAACTTTAGTAAAACCTGTAAGAAAGATTTTGTGTTTAGCTCAGGTAGGACAGCAAGAAAGATGGAGCTTGGAGAAAGAAAACTATATGAAATATTAACCGGGCGCAATGGCTCATGCCCGTAATCTCAGTACTTTGGGAGGCCGAGGCGGGAGGATCACTTGAGCCCAGGGATTCCAGATCAGCCTGGGCAACATAGCGAGACCCTGTCTCCTTTTAAAAAAGAAAGAAAGCAAAAGAAATATTAGAGCAGGTCCTCATTATTTTTACCTAGGAAAATTGATAATTTTTGATAAAGACTTCACATCAGGTCTATGCAACACTGGAAATGAGCCGTGGGTTGTGAAGACAGACTCTGTGCTTAAAATGTCAAACGGCAAAGTAGGTATTTTATTATCCTCATTTTACAGATAAGGAAACTGAGGCTCTGAAAGGTTACTGACTTTTCCAAATCCACGCCACAGAACTAGTAAACAGCAAAGCCAAAAGGTCTCCCGTTCCCCACGGGCCCCAGGAGTTCCCCACACGTAACACGACTCACCGCCAGATGCGGACAAGCACTTCTGTCCCGTTCAAACTTCGGACCAACCTACTCACCATGCGCATGCTCACTGTCAACACGAAACACCTGAGAACGAATGCGCATGTTCCATAAACGGGGAGTTTTTGTTGTGTATATATTTTTTCCTATTCAGAAAGATTAATTACGCATGTTCAATTTCAATTTACGAACTTCAGATATGGTACGCATGCTCAATGTCCACCGAACGCTTTAGCTGACAATGCGCGTGCTCTAGTCTCCAAGCGCGGCTTCGGCTGGTGTTTTGCGCATGTTTCTGCCAGCACCTGGATCCTGGCGATAGTTCTGCGCATGTCTACTGCCCACAGTTTGGCTTCACGGAACCCTGTACGCATGCTCCTGCGCTGAACTTTAGGAGCCAGTCTAGGGCCTAGGCGCAGACGCACTGAGCCTAAGCAGCCGGTGATGGCGGCAGCGGCGGTGGTGGCTGCGGCGGGTCCGGGCCCATGAGGCGACGAAGGAGGCGGGACGGCTTTTACCCAGCGCCGGACTTCCGAGACAGGGAAGCTGAGGACATGGCAGGAGTGTTTGACATAGACCTGGACCAGCCAGAGGACGCGGGCTCAGAGGATGAGCTGGAGGAGGGGGTGAGGCCCGGGTCCCCGGGGGCCCGAGGTGACAGGGCCGGGGCGGCGGCGCGGGCGCAGGAAGCGCGGTGTGTCCTAGAGCGTGGAGACTCGGGGGGCTCCTGAGGAGCTGAGGGTCGCGCGGCCCGAGACAGGGGAGCGGGCGGGGCGGACATGGCCCTAGGTGTGAGGCCTCTGCGGGGCTCGCAGGTGCAGGTCGCACCCTTAGCCCCAGGTCAGCGCAGCCCCGAACAGTCTGAAGGGGGAAAGAGAACGGACGCGTGGTCGATTCCTCGAGCTGCTGGACTTGAGTGTGGCGGGGCGCGGGTGGCGTGAGCGTGTGTTGGGGAGACGGGGGCTGCGCTTGCTGGGTGTCCCGTAAGTGCAGGTGAAGTGTGGAGGGTTTCCCTTCGAGTCTAGAATTTCAAGTATTAAATCTTCAGACCTCCCACAACCACCTCTCTTCTCGGCCTGTCGCTTCTCTCCTAGGAAGCGCTCAGCTGTTAGAAGTGACAGCTGAAAACTTCTGTCGGGAGTAGCACTGCCGCTGCTGTTACAGCCACCAGGAGTTTTATTTCGGGAGCAAGGGGGCTCTGCTGCATCTTCCAATCTTCCAGGGTTTGTTTGTTTGCTTTTTTTTTTTAAACCCCCTTCCGTGTGACTTTTTAAAACAAGCATTTATGAGGACACACGGCACTTGTAACCTTTCCCCAAGTTGAAGATGTCTGTATTTTTTTCAGAATAATTAATGTAATTTTGGGGTGAAAAAAAAAAACAGTGTTGACAGCCTTGATTTAGCTTGCCAGAAATAAGTTGCCTGAACAGAGACTTGTGAATGGTGGTATGAGGGCTTTCCTTGCTGTAATTTAGGGTACTAAATTTAGAATTGTATTTCCTAATGCATAGCTTGCTTTTACCTTGGCTGGCTTAGTGGTTTGTTAATCTTTATGGAATATCTTTTATTTTTCCCTAGATACATTTATCAAAAAATGACAAATTGCACTTTAAGTTCAAAAATGTTGTCATACTAAACCACTGATCCTGGACCAAATGATCATCAGTTGATAACCTCTTGGTAGTTTTGCATCTGAATTCCAATGTCTAGTTGAATACATGGGTTAATGACTGATGTTAGATGTTTGCTCTAATTACATAGGGGCTTCCTTTCCCTTGCCTCACCCTCGGTTTTTTCCTCTGACACCTGCCCTACTGTTGACAAAAGATTGAGATGGTATATATAAAGAACTTTGAACACTTTAAGAAACTAAGTGGCCTAAAATAATACTGTTCTTTATGTTTGTTTGTTTTGTTTTGTTTTGTTTTGAGACTAGGTCTCACTCTATTGCCCAGGCTAGAATGCAATGGTGCGATCTCAGCTCACTGCAATCCCAGCCTCCTCAGTTCAAGCGATTGTCATGCCTCAGCCTCCCGAGTAGCTGGGATTACCGGCATGCGCCACCACGCCTGGCTAATTTTTGTATTTTTAGTAGAGATAGGGTTTCACCGTATTGGCCAGGCTGGTCTTGAACTCCTGACCCCAAATGATCCACCAGCCTTGGCCTCCCAAAATGCTGGGATTACACCTATAAAGGTGTAAATCACCGTACCTGGCCAATACTGTTCTTTTCATAATCAAATGAGACTAAATCAAAATCACATGGTTTAGAAAGTGGATATTGAGGTGTGTGCTTTTTCTTTTCTTTCTTTCTTTTTTTTTTTTTGAGACAGTCTTGCTCTGTCACCCAGGCTGGAGTGCAGTGGCGTAATCTCGGCTCACTGCAACCTCTGTCTCCCGGGTTCAAGCAATTCTCTTGCCTCAGCCTCCTGAGTAGCTGGGACTACAGGTGCATGCCACCACACCTGGCTGATTTTTTGTATTTTTAGTAGAGATGGGGTTTCACTGTTAGCCAGGATGGTCTCCATCTCTTGACCTTGTGATCCGCCCACCTTGGCCTCCCAAAGTGCTGGGATTATAGGCGTGAGCCACCGCGCCTGGCTTTTTTTTTTTTTTTTTTTTTTAACTTTTTTTTTTTTTTGAGACGGAGTCTCGCTCTGTCGCCCAGGCTGGAGTGCAGTGGCGCGATCTCGGCTCACTGCAAGCTCCACCTCCCGGGTTCACGCCATTCTCCTGCCTCAGGCTCCCGAGTAGCTGGGACTACAGGCGCCCACAACCGCGCCCGGCTAATTTTTTTTGTATTTTTAGTAGAGACGGGGTTTCACCGTGGTCTCGATATCCTGACCTTGTGATCCGCCCGCCTCGGCCTCCCAAAGTGCTGGGATTACAGGCGTGAGCCACCGCGCCCGGCCTGGCTTTTTTTTGAGACAGGGTCTCCCTCTGTCTCCCAGGCTAGAGTGCAGTGCCGCGATCTTGGCTCGCTGCAGCCTCTGCCTCTCGGGTTCAAGCGATTCTCCTGTCTCAGCCTCCTGAGCAGCTGGGATTACAGGGGCATGCCACATCACCCGGCTAATTTTTTGTATTTTAGTAGAGACGGGATTTCACCATGTGGCCCAGGCTGGTCTTGAACTTCTGACCTCAGGTGATCACCTGCCTCGGTCTCCCAAAGTGCTGGGATTATAGGTGTGAGCCACCCAACCAGGCTTTTTATTTTATTTTATTTTATTTTAATTTTTTCTGAGACAGTCTCACTGTGTAGTCCAAGCTGGAGTGCAGTGGCCCGATCTCCGCTCACTGCAGCCTCAGCCTCCCGGGCTCAAGCGATTCTCGTGCCTCAGCCTTCTGAGTAGCTGGGACTACAGGCGCGCACCACCACGCCTGGCTAATTGTTTGTATTTTAGTAGAGATGGGGTTTCACCATGTTGCCCAGGGTGGTCCCGAACTCCTGAGCTCCAGTGATCCACCCGTCTTGGACTCCCAAAGTGCTGGGATTACAGGTGTGAGCCACTGTGCCCGGCCGGTGTGTGCTTTTTTAATGATGTTTTCATACGGAATTCCAGTTAGCCTCTTAATCGAACATAATGGTACACTAAATACAATGGGAAACAAATATGAGATTACTTTCATTATGTATACCATATACCATACTCTTATCAGTTATGTTGGTTCCCTATGACAGTGGCTTTGGAGCAGAGCACGGGAGAAAACTGGATAGGAAGGTGCTTTGTATCTTCATTAGTTGAACTGATAGAATTTCCAGAATGGGTTTATTCTCTTTTTTTTTTTTTTTTTTTGAGACGGAGTCTTCTTGTTCTGTTCGCCCAGGCTAGAGTGCAATGGCACAATCTCGGCTCACTGCAGCCTCCACTTCCTGAATTCAAGCGATTCTCCTGCCTCAGCCTCCCGAGTAGCTGGGATTACAGGTGCCCGCCACCAGGCCTGGCTAATTTTTGTATTTTTAGTAGAGACGGGGTTTCTCCATTTTGGTCAGGCTGGTCCGGAACTTCCAACCTCAGGTGATTTGCCCACCTCAGCCTCCAGAAATGCTGGGATTACAGGTGTGAGCCACTACGCCCGGCCAGGTTTATTCTTTTTTGAAAGTACAATACTGCATTAAAATTCCTGTATGAACTGGGACTTTTTCTTTTCACTTTCTTGTTGTGTTTCAAGAGCAGTAGGTGTTCCAGGGCTTTTGTCCTGCTGGGTACAAGCAAGTAGGATTTTGAGAGGGTATGAGGAGGAGGTCAGAAAAATTGGTGGAAATAGGAAAGAGAAAGAAATATAGACCCGACCTTGGGGAGAGAAAGTTTGGGGAAAGAGCAAAGGCAATTTAAGAGGATTTTGGGCCGGGCGCGGTGGCTCAAGCCTGTAATCCCAGCACTTTGGGAGGCCGAGACGGGTGGATCACGAGGTCAGGAGATCGAGACCATCCTGGCTAACACGGTGAAACCCCGTCTCTACTAAGAAATACAAAAAACTAGCCGGGCGAGGTGGCGGGCGCCTGTGGTCCCAGCTACTCGGGAGGCTGAGGCCGGAGAATGGCGTGAACCCGGGAGGTGGAGCTTGCAGTGAGCTGAGATCCGGCCACTGCACTCTAGCCTGGGCGACAGAGCGAGACTCCGTCTCAAAAAAAAAAAAAAAAAAAAAGAGGATTTTGAGGAAGAGACTTCTGTAAAATATGTCTTAGCAACACTTTTTGGAGTTGAAAATGTTTCTTTTTAGTGTGTTATTCTAAGAGGTGCCTCAGGATGGATAATGGAAGATTTGGAGTAGAATTGGGTTGGCAATCCAAGGAGATTCAGTGACATCCAGATTACCCTGAAATTTAAAAAAAAAAAAAAAATTCTGGAAAATGAGAGAAGTTTAGATTCTTAGAAAATCTTCTTTTTTTTTTTTTTTTTTTTTTGAGACAGAGTCTTGCTCTGTCGCCCAGGCTGGAGTGCAGTGGCCGGATCTCAGCTCACTGCAAGCTCCGCCTCCCAGGTCCACGCCATTCTCCTGCCTCAGCCTCCCGAGTAGCTGGGACCACAGGCGCCCGCCACCTCGCCCGGCTAGTTTTTTGTATTTTTTTAGTAGAGATGGGGTTTCACCGTGTTAGCCAGGCTGGTCTCGATCTCCTGACCTCGTGATCCACCCGTCTCGGCCTCCCAAAGTGCTGGGATTACAGGCTTGAGCCACTGCGCCCGGCCTAGAAAATCTTCTAATAGTTCTATTTGTGAATTTATAGCCTTTATTTATTACACAAAGTTT